TAATAAGCAGAACATCAATGCTACACCCTACAGTCCAGGAAAAGTTTTAGTGCATGATCTGATGCCTTCTGCTTCAAGCTTTATTTTTCAATCTGCATCATTATGTCCTAGGTGTCCTAAGCAATAGTTAAAAGTTTTGTTCCCTCCCACTCCCCCCACTTCTTCTTTTACTTTTTACAAATGCACATCAGCATGAATGGAAACCCGCTCGGCAGATATCATAAACACTGGAAAAGAAAATTATATATATAGAATGATATTCAAAGTATGCTAGAAGAGTTGTTGCATTAAAGAAGTCACAAAAGCGTGACAGGTTTTGACTACACGAAAAGACTTGTGCTACCCACACTATTTGAACTGGAAACCATGTTTTTTATTCCAAGATGTTTGGGAGTTCGGGACATAGCAAGCATTAAAATGAAGTCACTCTACACATACAGAGCTGGTGTAGTGTCTATGGCTGCTCTTTATGAAGAGTCAGTGGGGCTTACATCCAAGTAAACAGGCTCAGGATTGCACTATTAAGAAACTGAGCTGTGACTCAATGGACATCCTTGGTGGCATCTCTTAGCCTCAGTCTCCCATCTGCAGTATGGGAATACCAATACTGACCCAAAGCCCAGGGTTGTCGCAAAGATTAATGATATAATTCAGGTGCTGTGGACACTCTAGAGCACTATAAAAAGCCATCATTTTCTGTCTGCTGAAATTAAAGATTTGAATAGCAAGCTAACAAAAAGGGAAGCCTTAACAACAGGCAAAACATAATACATATATGACGACGTAACATAAAAATGCATACAATAAATTAGTATCGGAAACGGCGTATGTGAAAACACGCAAGTCACAAAACGAGTATTTGGAGAATTTAATGAGAACCGTTGTCACAGGAATGGGGAAGCCATGGCACTCCAGCTGGACTCCAGCTCCTAAGAGCAAGGCAGTGGTCAGGATGATGGCAGCTGTGCTGCAACATCTGGAGGGCCACAGATTCCCCATCCCTGTGTTCAAAAGACAGCCATTCATCCCACGTACAACTATTCCAAATGCAAATCCATTCATTCACTCATTCATTCCAAGAAGAATGAAGAAACAAGTCCAATAACTTTGCCCAACAAGGCCAGAGGCTCCTCTCATGATTAAGGACCCAGTATGGGGGAATTGAAAGTCTGAAGAGGGGACGCATTTGAATACATCACTTTTTGCCAACCTGGAACCCTCCAGATGTTTTTGGACTACAACTCCCATCAGCCCCAGCCAGCTTGCACCGATGGGAGTTGTACTCCAAAAACATTTGGAGGTTTTGCAAAGGCTGCTTCGAAAGAGAATTGGATAAACCTCTTTGTAACTGCAGCATCCTTTTGAGCCTTCTTAGTCAATATAGTAGGGATGCGGGTGGCGCTGTGGGTTAAACCACAGAGCCTAGGACTTGCCGATCAGAAGGTCGGCGGTTCAAATCCCCACGACGGGGTGAGCTCCCTTTGCTCGGTCCCTGCTCCTGCCAACCTAGCAGTTCGAAAGCACGTCAAAGTGCAAGTAGATAAATAGGTACCGCTCCGGTGGGAAGGTAAATGGTGTTTCCGTGTGCTGCTCTGGTTTGCCAGAAGCGGCTTAGTCATGCTGGCCAGATGACTCAGAAGCTGTACGCCGGCTCCCTTGGCCAATGAAGCGAGATGAGCGCCACAACCCCAGAGTTGGTCACGACTGGACCTAATGGTCAGGGGTCCCTTTACCTTTACCTTAGTCAATATAGTAGCTAATTCCCAAGATGGCAAAGATTTTTATAGCCCAGTTAAAAAAAAATAGCCACGTTGAGGACAGAGTTATGTGTGAAGAAACAGGCTCTAACCCACTTCTAGCTCTAGGTTGCCTGGAAGGGAATGTGTTCCTTCAGCTAATAAGGTTCCCTGCCCATGGTTTATAAGTACCAATACCTCAGTCTATACAGGTTTTTCCCCCCTGCTTCTGTGCAGTTCACCGTTCCTTCTTTGTCAAGTTCCAATCTCTGTCTCAAGACTCATTGCACAACCCTGAGCCAAGTCATTGGCTCCCAACCGCAGTTCCCATTTGTAAAATGGTAATAATAGTGACCGACATCACTGGCTTGTTGAGAGAGCATGTGCAATAATGATGGCGAAACCATTTGCAAATTAAAGTGCAAACATAACAATCAATACTCAGGGCACAGCCAAACTGTAGGAACAGAGGGAAAATATGCCAGTGTGTGATAAGAGCAAGGATGTCTATTAATCAAAGTTCGTGCAAGCTGAATTCTGCAGTTTGTGTGTGTGTGTGTCCTACAAAAAACCTTAATTCTTTTCTTCTGCAAAGGTCTGTGTATGACCTCTTACCCAAGCCTCCACCCCCTTAGGCTTCTTAGAGTTCACCAGATTTAAAAGTGCCATTAGACTTTGAAGATGGGCTATATTTTGCGGCGGCTGCTCTTCAGTTCTAGGGTGGTGTCTGCAAGCCCCCATGTCTTTACCCGATATGGCTTGGCCAAAAGGGACTAGTGAGCCAAATGAGTTGGTCTGCGGGGGCCTCATTAGGTCCATGAGCCAAAGGTTCCCCACCCTTGAACCAAAGCCTAGTAATACTTTCTTCTGAAACTATGGACCAGCATGCCAATGTGGGTTGATATCACGATCTGCATCTATGTAACAGAGCTGGTCCTAAGTCTGGCGATGTTTGGCCTCATGCAAATGGGGAAGTGTTTGCTTGAAAGAACGTGGACAAGCAAGCAAATATGTTTAGTGGGCATCTGGGAGAATGATTCAGATGCGAGGGTGATGAATTGAAAGTGACTGGCAGGAACTTCAGCACAGACAAAAGGAAGTTCTTCAGACCTCACCTAATTTATCTATGGAACTCATTATCACAAGGTGTGGCAATGGCCAGCATCTTAGATGACCTTAAAGAGGATTAGATACATTTGTGAAATATTAGGGTACCAATGGCTGCCATTCATGATGCCTATATATACCATCCCGGTTCAGGGGAAGTGCATCTCCAAAATTATCAAGTTTTAGAGGGCAACCACGGTAGAGGACTCTTGCCTTCATGTCTTGCTGTGATCTTTTTAGAGATATCTGGCTGAACACTGTTGGAAAAAATGGATGCTGAACTAGAGGGACATTGGTCTGAGGCAGCACAACTTTTCTTTTTCTTAATCCAGTAAATCCCAATTATTTTCAGCATGGAATTGGCAGGGGTCAGAATGATAACTAATAAAAATGCATCAAAACACACCACTTCCTATGGCCCAATGACACACAAATCCTACAGCTGAAAACAAGTTCTAAGGCTAAACTCAAAGGATACCACGACCTGCACTAGGCCATCCCCACATTTTGACATGTAGACAAAAACAGGGTAAAAACTCTACAGACGTTATAAAATGTTATCACGCTGACTGAGCTGTACAATGCAGCGATATGCCCTATGATCTTTAGTCTTTTGCAGGCACCCACGTGGCTTATATCACTGTGGTTTCCGTTTGGAGGGAAAACTGAGTCGCTGAATTACGATGCAACTGGGAGATGCTTTCTGAGCCGTTCCGAGAAATAGAAGAGCTGTGAAGTCTGTAATCTCGGCCCATTCTTTGGTTCAAACACCAACTCCGCCATTTTCTTTTCAGTTCGCCTTGTACCTAAATGTAAACAGAGCGCACCAGCACGCAGAGTATTAGGTGTGCACATTCATAAGAAGTGTACATCAATTTGGGGGTCAGGGTGGGGGCTCGGAAAGGTCAACAATGCTCCCCCCCTACACAATGCTTTAACATGCAGCAAGGTTGTATAATAATTCCTTTTCGGTAAGATATTTCAGATATACAACGCCGAGAATGGATTCCTCTGAAACAGAGACAGCAGAGCTGCCAAGAATCCTTGGTCAGAACTGAATCCAAATTTGCACCCACCCATACGCATCCAAATGTTCTCCAGGGTCCCTCCTCTATCTGGGCAACACCTGGCAAGCTTACCTGTTAGTCATGGTGGGTGGCAGTGGAGTTGCCATATTAATTACCCCAAATGCCCCTGATGCAATATTGCTCCAGGGCACTGTGGGAAATGAAGGCCAGACCATCTTTTCAAAGCACTATGATACCATTTAAATAATCATGGCTCCCCTCCACACACACCCAAGAATTATGGGAGCTTCCGTTTGTTAAGGGTGGTGAGAGTTGTTAGGAGACCCCTATTCCCCTCACAATTCCCAGAGTTTCCTACAAAGATGGGCTGGTAATCGTAGCCTAACAAACTTAAACTGCAGCTTAACCAACTACACTTCCCATGATTCTTTGGGAAAGGCATGGCTGTTTAAAGTGGTATCATAGTGTTTTGTATGTGTGGTGTGAATGTGGCTTAAAATGGCACCTTCCCTATCGCAGGAAACACTACCTTGGGGGTTCAGCTGCCTGATCTGGTCAGGAGGGTAGAGGACCTTTATTAGCAGAGAAGTGGGGTCCTGATGGGGTGCCATGAACTGTCTAGTAATGCTGGGTGCTAACACCAGCCCTGGGTCCCTCACAAAGCCTCGAAAGCCCAAGGAACTAGAATGCTGTGGGTTGCACCTGTAAGCTATAGCCCTTCCTTAGTAATTACCACAAGAGACTAAATAAAAACTTACTTCGCTGTTCAGAAAGCAATATAGGACTGCAACAACCAGGCCCTGTAAATGGGAAATATGAATAAGTTAAACATAACGATAAACTATTTCAGTAAAAATAATGAACTACGTCAGTTTAAACACCAACACTGGGATATATCTTACCTGAAAAGATCCCAGACATAACTCAAAAATGATCTGATAGTTATTAGAAATGCGAATCGGAAAGACCGCGAACAACATGTAGTGAACTCCAAACAGTGGTATAAGCAGCAATGTCGATTTTGCAAGTCTCCTAAAAGACAACAAACCAACACACGAAAAAGTAAGGATGAATCAGAGCTTAACAGAGATCCCCTAAATTTCCGTTTTCCCAACAGGGACTTCTGGGGAGTTTCACTTACTTATACTGGGACTGGTCATTGCCTCCAACATCTGGCGATCTCAGCTTTTGCAGTAGAATTCTTATAATGCTGATGAAAAGTACAAAATTCACCTAGAAGACAGCATGCATGCACACCAGTAAATCCACGCACCTCTCCCTGGCAGTAAAAGTTCAATAAGAGTAAACTGAAAAACTAACAATTTATAGTCCTTTCATGATACCCTACATGAAAAGGTACATGATGAAGCTGCTTCACTCTAATAGCAGGGCTGGACCTGATTAAAAATTCTGGCCCATGGTCAGTTAGTAAACTTTGTAGCTGAGCAACGATTTGAATATGGACCTCCCCAGTCTGATACTCTAAGCCAGCGGTTCTCAACCTGTGGGTCCCCAGATGTTGTTGGACTACAACTCCCATCATCCCTGAGCTCTGGCCTTGCTAGCTAGGGATGATGGGAGTTGTAGTCCAACAACATCTGGGGGCCCACAGGTTGAGAAAGGCTGCTCTAAGGCATGGGTAGGCAAACTAAGGCCCAGGGGCCGGATCCGGCCCAATCGCCTTCTAAATCCGGCCTGCAGACGGTCCGGGAATCAGCGTGTTTTTACATGAGTAGAATGTGTCCTTTTATTTAAAATGCATCTCTGGGTTATTTCTGGGGCATAGGAATTCGTTCATTTTTTTTATTCAAAATATAGTCCGGCCCCCCACAAGGTCTGAAGGACAGTGGACCGGCCCCCTGCTGAAAAAGTTTGCTGACCTCTGCTCTAAGCCCTACACAACACTAAGCTTAGGGGCCTGTAGCTGAAAGGCAGGATAGGACACAGCTTAGTTGGTTAGAGCATAGTGCTGATAATGTCAAGGTTGTGAGTTCCATCCCCATACGGGCCGCCTGCATATCCCTGCATTGTAGGGCTTTGGACTAAATGACCGTCAGGGTCCCTTTCAACTATACAAATCTAGGATTCTAGGACTTTGATAGGCAGGTCATTTGTAACTGCAGGACCGCATAAAGTCCTATGTAGTTCTCAGTTCAGATTTTCGCTAGTCTAAAACAACACCTTCACCGAAGGAAATCTAGGATTCTAGGACTTTGATAGGCAGGTCATTTGTAACTGCAGGACTGCATAAAGTCCTATGTAGTTCCTATGTAGATTTTCGCTAGTCTAAAACAGCACCTTCACCGAAGGAGAGTATAAGGCAGCCTTCTGCAATCTGGTCCCGCCAGATGTTTAGCTTCCACCATACCTGACCATTGGCTATGCAAGCAGGGGCTGATGGGAGCTGTAGTCAAAAACCTCTGGAGAGCACCAGGGTGGGGGAAGAGTATCATAAGGACAGAGAATCATAGAATTGCAGAGTTGGAAGGTACACTGAGGTTCATGTACTCCAACCCCTGCAATGCAGGAATCACATCTATTGAATCCTAATCACCTGTCTCTCACCTGTTTGAGTCTTTGCCTCAAATTCTTTGGCTTGTTAGAATTTCACTGTGCCAAGTACCGAACAGCGTGGCTGGTACAGGACATCTCAAATTTAAAAGACCAAGAAGAGGAACACGGCACGGAATGCCCAAAGCTTGCCAAGAAGGATTCTTCCATGGCCAAAATGTTATTGGGAGATGCTTCCAACACGCTGAATCAATGGTGAGAGCCGTTAGAGGCACCAGAAACGAACAGCTTGGTTCGACAGTGTTACCAAAGGGCAAGGCACAGCCATTTGACTTCTGGCAAAGTTGGTTACCACCCAGTGAAAAGTAACAGGGAGACTGAATTATAATTTACTTGTGTCCTATGGACTTTAAGCCAGAAGTGAGATATTTTTGTCTCATAAATGGATGGAGGCGTAACCTCAGCTGAAAGCAGAGGGGTGTGTGTGTGTGTGTGTGTGTGTGTGTATGTGTGTGTGTGTGAGAGAGAGAGAGAGAGAGAGAGAGAGAGGCTATAACTGTCCTCCCACTTTTGCGTACATTTTGGGAGTGCAGGTGGGGAATTTCAAGGGCTGAAAGATCTTGGGAGTTCCAGTGAAAAACAAATTACCGGTACATCTGACAAGCCTGACGTCTGTTCACTCCTGTCCTGCCTACTGCAATTTTACTCTACCTTGCCACTCTGTTAACCATCCCTGAGACCTCCTGGTATAGGTAAAGGTAAAGGTACCCCTGCCCGTACGGGCTAGTCTTGACAGACTCTAGGGTTGTGCGCCCATCTCACTCAAGAGGCCGGGGGCCAGCGCTGTCCGGAGACACTTCCGGGTCACGTGGCCAGCGTGACATTGCTGTTCTGGCGAGCCAGAGCAGCACACGGAAACGCCGTTTACCTTCCCGCTAGTAAGCGGTCCCTATTTATCTACTTGCACCCAGGGGTGCTTTCGAACTGCTAGGTTGGCAGGCGCTGGAACCGAGCAGCGGGAGCGCACCCCGCCGCGGGGATTCGAACTGCCGACCTTTCGATCGGCAAGCCCTAGGCGCTGAGGCTTTAACCCACAGCGCCACCCGGGTCCCACCTCCTGGTATAGGGCGGTATATAAATTCAATAAATAATAATAATAGTAATAATAATAATAATAATAATAATAATAATAATAATAATACCTACCTATCTTCTCATTATACTTTTGGGGACAAGAAGAGAACTGCCACAATTGACATCGAGTATAATGAATCCATAATTAATTCACGATTAATGTGCCTTTTGCCTGTCACTTATAAACAAGGCTAATTAGAGCTTGGGGTTCACCAAGACCTAATTAGCAAATAAACAAACAAAAAAAACCCATCAGGGTTTACAGGGTCAGCGCAGATGGTTTCTGGACAGCCTAGAGCTACAGTGCTTCTATTATATATATATATATATATATATATATATATATATATATATATATTGGGGGGGTTATTTACAATTTTTTGTAAATTGCTTAGCATACTATTAGAGGACATTTATACACATCAATATTAAAATGCAATGCATTGTGCATGCACACTTGTGCAAACACACACATACACACACCCCTATGTATGAAGATGCCTACAAATAAAAAATAAAATCCTTTGAAACATGAAATTCCTTGATGGAGGTTTGAAAAGGTATGGCTCTGGCAGGATGTAATGGGATAAGTATTTGAAGCATCACCAGCTGGCATAGAAAATGCTTTGGTTCGGGATAGTTAGCCCTATGAAAAGTGATCTTGCAAATGGAGGCTGATTTAGCTACATCTATTTTAACTTTTATAAAGCAGGCAGGGGCTGTTTTGGTCCACTAAGTATTTGAGGACTGTGTCTGGTGGGGGGGGGTGCCGTTGCATTTTCCACTGTTGTTTTTAAGAACTTTGTGGGAAGTAAAAAAAACCCAAACATATTTCAATCTGCTAGCAGGAATTCTTTCTGTCGGACATTTTATATTAGCTGCTTTAATGGATCATATCAACCTTGAGCTGAAAAGTAGGTTATAAATAAAATAAATACGTTAAAATATGATAGCGCACTTTGCTCAGATTGACACACGCGTACAGAATTACAGAGCTGAAAATCACAGTGTGAAACCGAAGCGTTAACATGCCATTTGAATTTACTTACTAAAATTGAAATTAGGATGGGTAATCTTATAACCCACCAAGGAACGCTGTGATCGTTCGTATCCCAGCAACTATTGGGAAGAAGGGAGGGAAAAATTTTAAAAAAATATTAATCCCATTTATACGGTAAATAAATTGAGAAGCTGCACTGAAAATGCCAAGCAAATTGGAAAAGGGCAAAACCTCCTAAAAAACAAAACCAGGCACTATTTTCTCTTGCAAAGTAAGTGCTGGAATCATGGAGAGATGGGCAGAAGTGAGGCAGCCACACTAGTAGAGCCCTCAATAACAGGAGAAGCTATAGAAAGCCAGACAAGTCCACCCCTTTTACAGGGCTTGGGGGTGGGGTGGGGTTTCTTTGCTGGCGGTTTGGGGGTCCCAAGGGGGTGCCCTCTTTAGCCCCTGCAAGAGTAGTGAGGTCGCACCTGCCTATGCAGCATCTAGCACGACCTAATGGAAGGATGCACTGGCTTGTGCAGCGTTGGGAGACACATGTGACATCACATGGCTCAGGTGTGACATCACATGGCTCATGTGTGATGTCACATGTGCACACCAGGCCCCTTCACTTTTTGGAGCAACCCGGTGCCTGTGATCCACTGTATTAGCAAAGCAAGCAACTTTTATTAAAAGATGAATTTACCATGTGCTTTGAGTCAGGGGCGTAGGAAGAGGAGGCGGTGGGGGCGGTCCATTCTGGGTGTCATCCCGGAGGGGGGGTTGACAAAATCCCCCCAGGTGGATCGCCACACCACACCCTGGGCGCCAATTGTCACACAACCCCCCGGGTGCTGATCGCCCCCAATGGGCGCGGATAGCTGTGCTGATCACTGCACTGATCGCTCCCAATGGGCGCCAATCACCATGCCAATTGCCCCCCTGGGCAGCTCGTCCCACCCCTGGGCGGCTCCCCCCTCGCGTGCACGGCATGTGCGCCACTCCGGGTGCGCAAGTGGCTTTGAGTTAGTTCACACAGTGGCCAGCTGATTTGACTGAACCACACAGGATTGACCCTGCGTGCAAATCCCACGTTCTGTTGTTGAGTGTAGAACTACGTATGACAAGCACTTAACACCCTGTCCAATCTGGTCTCCTCTAGATGTCGTTGAACTAGAGTACCCAGCAGACCACACCCAGGATGGTTGAGGAAGTCTGCTCTATACAGTAGCAGAGAGCAGCCAATATAAAATATTTTTGAAATTATGCATTCATCACCTGTCACTCCCCCTCGTCCCTGGAGCGGGAATGAGCCTCATGAAATGTTTCATAGACACCTCAGGGAAGTCTGACATCCCAAGAATTGGTAATATTGGACATAGCACTATTGCCAAAGGACCCGTGGCGACAAAACGTGGAGGCATCAAGTTTGCTTTCCTTTTTAAACTTACCCAGTGTCCTCCAAATAGACTCTAGACACAATCCATGCGATGATGAACACTGTGGGGATTCCTGGGAGTGGAATACGAAGTGGAGGGAAAGGAGCATTATTAAATAGATCACTTGCACAATGCATCAACATTAGAATGCATTACATGCAAAACATATCCCATGGTGCAAGAACTAATTGCTAGGTAGTGTTAGAAATCCTTTCTTAAATTTAGTTAAATGTTTTAAGTAGCTAAACATGTGGCAGAGGAGAGGGAGAGACTGCTGCTGCTGCCACATTTGTGGTGTTGAAACAATCAAAAGTAAGGTCTTAGGCTGAGGCCCTTGTCAGCCTTGCTACCTAAACCCCATTTAACTGGAGATGCCAGAGACCGAGCTTGGAATAAATGTTTTGTCTGCAGGAAGCCCAACATGAAGCTACAGCTCCCTCATACTATCTGGTCCCAGATTAGCGATTCACTGTGCATAGTGTTGCAACCTGTCTACCGTATTTTTCGCTCTATAAGACGCACATTTTCCCCTCTGAAAATTAAGGGGAAATATGTGTGCGTCTTATGGAGTGAATGCAGTCTCCTTGGCTTCAGTGATAGCAACGCGAAGCCTCCGAAGCGCAGTGGGAGCGCTCCCGCTGTGCTCCGGAGGCTTCGCGTTGTTTTCGCTGAAGCCTGGAGAGTGAGAGGGGTCAGTGCACACCGACCCCTCTCGCTCTCCAGGCTTCAAGGATAGCCGCCTGAAGCCTTACGGAGGCTTCGGGTTCCTTTCGCTGAAGGGTAGGTGCTCCTTCAGCTAATGCACAGCGCCCCTTCAGCTAAGCGGGAGGAGAAATGGAAGGGGCTCCGTTTCTCCTGCCACTTCGCTGAAGGGGTGCTGCGCAGAGAGGCGGAGAATTTTTTTCTTGTTCTCCCCCTCTAAAACAAGGTGCGTCCTATGGTCGGGTGCATCCTATAGAGCGAAAAATATGGCAATTGTGCTTTTAGTTTATACACTTTACTGTGGGCTCGTCCACACTTCTGCTTTTCCCATTTCTAGAACGCATCGGTCTGAGCAGTTTCCCACTTGACCCGTGCTGTCTAGGCAGGAGTCCAAGCAGTTCCCCCCTTGCCCTGCTCCTTTCCCAGGGAGAACCCTAAATCCATGCTAAATCAGAGCAAAGGTCAACCCGGAGAAAACCTGAATTGTCATTTGCTCCGACTGTGCACCAAAGAACGATTTCCCGGGGGGCAAAGCAGCGGGACGAGAGGAAGTGTGGATAAACCCTGTTATATCTTGCATTTCAGTTGTTGTATTGATTGAATTCATGTTATGGGGTGGCTATACAAATTCAGTGAATGAATGGATAAGCTTGTCTCAGAATTCCCTCCTTCCCAGGAATGCTGGACCTCTCCTCCAGGGGTTTTACGCTTTACACATACACACATACATCATCTTCAAGAGTTCTGGGTCCACCAACCAAACAATCTGAATACCGTACTTTTCTGTGTATAAGACTTATGTTTTTTTCTTTTAAAATTATGCTTAAAAGTGGTGGGCGTCTTATACATGGATAGTGCATAGGGTGGACATTTGATTGGCTGCTGCCATGGCTGTCAGCGGCTATTGTGTGCGTGTTGTTGGTTGCTGTGTCAATGGGTGGTGTTGATTTGCTGACGCTGCGGCAGTTGTGTGGGCGATTGGCAGCTTCTGCTGGTGATGGAAAATAGGCGTGCGGGTGAGCAATTTTCGGCAATCCCCTCTAAAAAAAGCTCAGCAACCCTGGGAAATCCTTCACACACACAAACACCTGAACAACTCTGTGTCATCTCCACCCAATTTTCTTCAATTTGAGTCCCCCCAAATAAGGGGCATCTTATACATGGGGGCGTCTTATACACGGAAAGGTACGGTATCTAGGTCAGGCCTGTACAACATGTGACTCCCACCCCCCAGCCAAACACATCCCATCAACCAGCAGCAGGGGCTGGGTGCATCTCCATTTTTGCTGCTTGTTTGGAAGCGCAGAAAGAGAGATGGAAGTGAGGGAGTCAAGCAGCCACAACGTATGCCGTGTGTGTCCATGTTGCTGGATCTCAAGTTCTGGAGGCCAGACCTAGGAGCTAAGATACAAAGACCCCGTTTTACACAGTAGGGGCAAAGAGAGAAGAAAAGAAGGTTGTGTCAATCTTCTTACCCCATCCAATAAGGAGATATAAGGCGAAGTGTCTGTTAGGAGAGAATATGACCATGAGGATGTGGAGATAAAGTCCTTCAACTAAGAGCCAATAAAAGTTGGCCATTACACAGTACTGGAAAATTACCAAGCTACCCTTGCAGCCGACCTGGAAAGTTACAAACCAAGGATGAAACGTTTGGGTAAATAAATTGCTTGAACACAGTAAATGGCTTCCTTTGTTAAAAAATCTTTCTTTGATAGATACAAGCTCTGACATGAGGGACTTCCCCTTCCATGAACTTGCCTGTTGGTCGCCTGAAAGGGCCTCTTTCTATTGTTTGGATTCTGGTCAAATTATAACTTTTAGAAGTGAATGGAAACAAATGCCAAGTGTTTCTCAAAGCTTGCTTCCCTAGTGAAACATTTGGGATTTGTCTTGTCTCCTAAAAACCATCCTGTCTCTCTCTCTCCCTCTCCCTCTCTTTATACCTTGTGTTATTCCTTCCTCCTAAATATCTCCTTTTCATTTCAGGGCAAAATATTCCAGGAATAAAAATGCCACCACCGTCGAGGTTAATCTGGGGCAGGGAGCTAATAATCAGGACCACCAGTTAACCAGAAGTAATTTGGTTTAGGGAAGAGGCTCCTGTCACTTTTTAAAGCTAGTTTATTCTATAGAAGCTGTGCCAGAAGCAAAAATAGCCCTGTGGAATGCATAACGAGCGACTGAAAGCTCTTCTAGCTCTTATGTAACTAAACCGGGGTCAGCAGAAGCAACTCTTTGCTGCAGATATTACATCACCTGGACAACACTGCAGCATATTGATTTATACCGGTTTAACTACAGCGACAAAACTCGCTGTCTTAAAAATTCCTTCTTAAATTAGCCAGAAAAATGGGGTGGGGGTGGGGGAGAAATGAAATGAAAACCTAACCTGTGTCTCCCTGCTAAATTCATGATCCTGAACCTCTGAAGTGACAAGCGATGTTGACATCTTGGTCAGCGATATGGGGAGCTCTGTGGAAGGTTTATCAGCCAATCGCATTTAATTAAGGCAAAAGAAAACGGTTCAGGGAGGTTCATTTGAGGGACATGCAAAGGTTTGTGCATGTTTCCCACCATTACAAATTTCCTGGTTTTCATGGCTACGTTGAACAGAGTGGAAATATTAACGTAAGGAAAGGGGAAATCCCCCAAGCAAGGAGATCTTTGATTGCGGTTTTGCACAGTAGATGTCAGATTTTTAGTCCATTTAACTCACAATTTTCTACACTGATTGGCAGCAGTTGTCCTTTTCCTGTAATGTTACATGGGGCCTTTTTTGCAGGACGGGGCTGCAAACTGACTTGATGCTCTCAGTGTACATAATATGTGCCCTTTTCACTGATTTGTGGCCCCTTATCTTTATCTGTAGTCTAATTCTATGCATGGATAGAAGTCCCTCTGTATTTACACCCAGGTAAGTGTATTTAGGATTTAGCTCTTAATTATGTTACATCAACATGGAATCCTATTAATAACTTTTTTATGAATAGCACGGAAGCAAATGTCACAGTTCATCTTCCACCCACTGAATACCCTCTCCAATTCACCATTTGTCACTCTGTATTTATTAAAAACGTTGAATTCAGAAAGTGCTTTGCAATTATTTGACCTTCCAAACCCTGTGAGATAGGTCATTATTATATCAGTTGTTTGGTTTTTTTCAGATGGAGAGCTCAGGCAATGATTTCCCCAAGGCAACAGCCTGAGTATGGTGTTTTAGGGGATGGAAATGGTTTAGTTGCACAAGAACACTAGGTCAACTTTAATTACGCAAACTTGAATTTGCTTGTTTGTGACTGAACCCTATCCAAAAAGAATGACAGTTTGGAAGTGCCCCTAGATCATGGGTAGGCAAACTAAGGCCCGGGGGCAGCATCCGGCCCAATTGCCTTCTCAATCCGATCCGTAGACGGTTCTCAATCCGAACTCATCTACTGTTGCCCATTCATTTCTTCACTTAAAGAAGATAGGGAACTTCTGGCTTTGCAGATGTTGTTGGACAACACCTTCCAACCCTCCTAACTATTGGCCATGCTGGCTGAGGCTGATGGGAGTTGAAATCCAACAACATCTGGAAGGCCACACTTTCCCCACCATGACAAAGATCCTAATTACCCTGAAGCCCCATCAGCGGAGGTGTTGACTTGCACTCAAGACTGAGGGGGCCCATCGTGTGTCACACACACGTGACATCATGCACATGTTGCATATGTGTGACGTCATGTGCCCATGACGTCATGTGCCACGTTGTATTGTCAGGAGGAGGCTGAGTGTGGCGGTTCCTCCTCTCTCTCTCTCTCTCTCTCTCTCTCTCTCTCTCTCTCTCTTAGGAGGAGTTGACTACTGAAGCCATGCTGTGCTTGGCTCCACATTCAACTTCTTCTGCCCCCTCAAGATGAAGGGGCCCAGCTCCCTCCCAACAAATATAGCGGGGGCCGAAGGCATCTTGGCCCCATAGATTGGTGCCACTGCACACGAGTCTTTATGCAACCTGTCTGCAACCAATATAATGCTCTCTTAAAAAGGTAAAGGGACCCCTGACCATTAGGTCCAGTCGTGGCTGACTCTGGGGTTGCGGTGCCCATCTTGCTTTATTGCCGAGGGAGCCGGTGTACAGCTTCCGGGTCATGTGGCCAGCATGACTAAGCCGCTTCTGGCGAACCAGAGCAGCGCATGGAAACGCTGTTTACCTTCCCGCCGGAGCGGTACCTATTTATCTACTTGCACTTTGACGTGCTTTCAAACTGCTAGGTTGGCAGGAGCTGGGACTGAGCAACGGGAGCTCACCCCCGTCACAGGGATTTGAACCGCCGACCTTCCTGATCGGCAAGTCCTAGGCTCTGTGGTTTAACCCACAGCGCCACCCGCATCCCTAATGCTCTCTTACACGCCCAATAACACAGCCCAGGAAAGATAAAAACGCTTCAAGTCATAGCAATTTGTTTTCTTACCCAGGATGGTTGATCCTCTGAGCAGTGAACTGTGTTACTACCAGAATAGAGGATCTCATCTTTGACCAAGACAGAGATTGCTTTTAGAATGAAAGACAGGAACAAATTCAAATGTATATAGTTCCTAGTGCAGTGAAGTTTCCTACACATGGGGAAAGGATACAAAAACAGAAGAGCAAGTGAGTATCATTTTGCTTACTCTTAGCAAAACGAATACCCTGCCTTAAAGAAAAACCTGCAAATGTCATTTCTTAACAAACCAATGACAGAATACTATTAATTAAAATGTTTTTAATGGCAGTTGTTTATGCTGGTTCTGTATTTCATTAGCATCTACAATTGGCCCGCTTTGTTTTGACAGCTATTCGAGCATTGCTATGGGTTGGATTCAGACTATGTTAGTCATAATTTCGTTGCATAGATTTCAGTGGGACTAGGCCTGCAACCGTAACCATGTCTCATTATATTCAGCGGGGCTTACTCTAGGTAAGTGGAGAGGGGATTGTAGCTTAATAAACAGCTTACTACCCACCCCGATTTTTAGGTATACTTACCTAAAAAGGCAAAGAATTATACTTCCTGTAGTCAGAGCAATGAGAGACGCACTGTGTCCAAGGGTGTAAATTGCTTTCACCAAAACATAGAAAATCTACAAAAAGAAACAATTTCCATGCATCGGTCACCATAAGAGAGCATAAACAGAACATTCACCAAAATTGGATGATTTATAGTAGTGCCAAGGAATCATGCACAGAATAACATTTGCATCTTCCATATGTAGACCCAGCAATACCTCTCCTCTCCAGGGCCTTAGACATTTGACCTTTATAGTACTCATGGCAACACTCTCATTAAAAGAAGTGGCCATTGCAGTGCATTCGGCACTATCCATGCCTTAACTCTGGAATTGTTTTCCTTATCAATATTTGAGAGATCAAACCATAATACTGAATGTAAAGAATTGTATTTTTAATATTTTGTTGGAAGCCGCCCCAGATAGGTGGGGTATACTCTACTTTTCCGTGTATAAGACTAGGTTTTTTTTCTTTAAAAATTATGCTAAAAAGTGGGGGTCGTCTTATACATGGATAGTGCATAGGGTGGACATTCAATTTGTTGCTGCTGCGGATGTCAGCAACTATTAGGCGTGTTATTGGTTGCTGCATCAATGGCTGGTGTTGATGGCTGATGCTGTGGCAATTGGGCGGGTGATTGGCAGCTTCTGCCGGTGAGGGGACAGACAAGAGGCGGATTTTTGGACACGTGTGGGTGAGCAATTTCCGGCAACCCCCCCCAAAAAAATAGCTCAACAACTCTGTGCCATCTCCCCCCATTTTCTTAATCTGAGTCCCCCAAAATAGGGTGCATCTTATACATGGGGGCATCTTATAGACGGAAAAGTAAGATAAATTATAAATTATTATTATTATTATTATTATTATTATTATTAATTATTATATTGATCTTGTTTGTTGGTGGCAGCATGGACAATCAGTATTTCAGAGTTGAAATTCCTTGGAAGAGCTAGAGCTTGGCATAAAAAATGTTTGGACTATTGCACACTTGGGAGGGGGATCACAGATTGTATTAGACCCTGCAAGGCACAAAACCCCTTAATTTTATTGCATATAGTGATGACATGCAAGGACACATGTTGCTAGCTGCCTCAGAAATATGGAAAGGGTGCGGTGATAGAGATACCGTATTTTTCGCTCATATAACACGCACCCGACCAATAACACGCACGTAGTTTTTAGAGGAGGAAACAAGAAAAAAAATATTCTAAATGAAACAGTGGATGTATGATTTTTGTGGTTCATGCTGTGGCCACAGGACATGTGATCTGACAGTGAGTTTGGAGTAGCCAATGCAAAAATCCTGAGGATCCATGTGGATCCATGCTTTGTAACCACGTTTGTGCACCACTGCAGCCCCAGGCAACTGGGTGTGGTGATTTTTTTTGGTGCAAGATGTAGCCATGGACATTGCTATGTGATCTGATGGTGAATTTGGGGTGACCCAGTGCAAAAATCCTGAGGATCCATGTGGATCCGTGCTTTGTAACAACGTTTTAAGTGGGGAGGCAGCCTCCTTTATCGCTAGCCTCCCTTATCTCCCTCCCAATCGCTTGCCGATCAGCTGCTTCCCTTCACACTCCCTTCCCTCATGTTTGCCTTAGTGTTTTTTCCTTAGCTGGAGCAGTTTTTTGCACCTCTTTTCTTCTAATTTCTCTCCTTGTTGCTTTAGTCTTCCTGTTCCCCCCTTTTTGTAAGTTTGCGGTCTTTACCTCCCCCCTCCCAGGCAGCTTCCTTTATCTCTAGCATCCCTTATCTCTCTCCTCAATCGGCAAATGATCAGCGGCTTCGTTTCAACACCCACTTCCCTCTTTCAAAAAAAAAAAAAAGCAAACATGATCTGCTTTTTGCCCTTGGGCAATTAGGCTCCAGGGACCACGCATTCGCTCCATAAGATGCACAGACATTTCCCCTTACTTTTTAGGAAGAAAAAAGTGTGTCTTATGGAGTGAAAAACACGGTATCTCAAACTTGGGTCCCCAGCTGTTGTTGAGCTACAACTCCCATCATCCCTAGCTAGCAAGACTAGTGCTCAAGAATGATGGGAGTTGTAGTCCAACAACCAGTCCAAGACCCAGGTTTGAGACACACTGCAAGATGGTCTTGGACAGAGGTTCCTCTCAGTGCCTCCTACCTGAGATCTTGCAGAACTGTATCTTCTAGAGGAAAGGACACAATGTACCACAAAGTTATGGCCTTTATTTGCCCAAGAGTTCAGACTTTTCTGAGAACTGAACTTAGGACCTCTCTCACCCATGAGAATCATGCTCCTAGATCCACAAACCTGACCTTGCTGGATGCTTCAGTGAACACTTCCCTTCCCTAACTAAACTCATTTAAGATGTTTGCTGTGCTGTACATCTCAGCATATCCCTGCCTTGAAATTTGCCTGCAATGGATATTGCTCTGGCCGTACGGATCATTGAGCAGAGAAGAACATTTATGACCTTCCTTGCCCTTCTCCAATGATCAGGAGGAAGTTGCAACTTATGCGCCCTGGTAATGAGGTGCTCAAAGAGAAATCTCCATAGCTCATGGGAAAAGATATCAATCGAGTAGTCTTGCTGACCCAGCCTCTTCGTAGTTGCTTAGCATATGAATTCCTCTGTGCTTGACCGGCTGCTGGGGCTCAGCATTCAAACATGTACATATTATATGGATTGCCTGTATGTGGGTTCAAATGATACAATTATCAGCGAGTGGGGAGTCATTTGGAGGTGGGTTCCCCAGCCAGATTTATTTTCCATCCACTTATACAACAGGTTTTGGGTTTTTTGTGTTTTTTTTATCTTTAGGCAAAGTGTCACAGACCCGTCTGAAACAGCTATTCCTTTGCTACATGCGCCAATCTCCTGTCTGTACTAAAACAAAACATTAGGTGTTCCCAGCCACTGTCAGAGTTCTTGCGATGGACTGACCCTAGGTCAGCCTCCTAGTGACCCAGGAACCAATCAGGGCTGGGTGGAGTGTAATCCAATCTAGAGAAAGAGCAAAGAGTTTAACATTGGAACCTGTTGACAGAGATGGTTTTAGGGTGGTACAACTGGTACGGCCGCAGTCGGTGCCATACTGCAGGGGGCACAAAAACAATGCTATAGAACAGAGCGCATGAGGCAGGGGGCGCCGAATTTTAGCGTCACACAGGGCACCACTGGAATATGAGAGCCTAAAGTCTGTCACTGCAGTTAGGTAGGGCTTGACTGTCTTTGGAACCTCAGATAGGGACTTATCTGTCAGTCTGTGCTAGTTAGGGCTTTGAAAGTGCCTAGATAGGGTTTCGTTCAGAGCCTTGGTTAGAGATGAATTGAGGATTAGCTAATCAGGGCAACCCAGATGGTTAGGTAAGGCTCCAAGAAGGAGCTGGGAGTGTCTTACTTGTCGTGTCAGACCAATAGCCATTCTAGGAGGAGTTAGTCTGTTCAGAGAGATGTTTAATGTGTGAGTTTAGAAGTTCTTAGCTATTTCCGTAAAGCGTGTTCTCCTTCATAGAGAGCACATGTTGCGGTGGGGGCAAACAAGACATCCCTCTGTTGCTGGGCGGGTTAGTTTGGATGGCCACGAATCTTATTGGGCACCTCTTGGCCGTTGGGGAGAATTTGATGTTGCAATTTATGATTGATGGCCAAGGGGCTATTTATTCCCTGCACGCAGTGTTGAGCCTTGAGTCTTTTCGCTGCACGCATTGGATCACCCTCCCACCCTCCCTATGTTTAGGGCTGTTTGCGTTGACCTTGCTATGCCTGCCATGGGGTTGTCTGCTTTGGGGCAGGGGCCTGGTAGGAATTTTTCCATTTGGCTGATTGGCCATTTGGTTTTTTGCCTACTGCGTAGCAAAATCGTCACAACTTGTAAGGTTGTGGTTAGGCATTGGTTAAATTTGGTTGGTGGAGGGGGTATGGTTGGCTGTGCCTGCCCCTCCAATGCTGCTGCTGCAAGGGTATTCCATTAAAGGAATTCAGGGGTTCGCCATGCTCTTGTCCGAACCCCTGTCAAGGAGCTAGGGCCACGCAAGAGCCCCGGAGAACATTTGGGGAGAGGTGAGGGCCTGACACCCAGCTCTATTCTCTTCCCAAAATGTTTTCCCTTATTGACTTTTGCAGGCTTGTGGATGTCAGTTCTGTTCCTATCTCTAGGTGGGAACAGATAGTCGCGAACCAATGCCTAAGCAACCTCTCACATTCTGTAATCGATAAAGTTGTGGACTAAAAATTGTGCCAAAAACCTTAAAGAAAAATTCTGTGTGAACTGTGTTTTATTTGAGGGTGGCTTGGGGACCTCGACACGCAAAGAGTGTTTGTCTGAAACAAAGAATTGTGCCTCATCAGTGTAACTATTACGTTACAACCCTCACCGAGTGTAAATAAAGTTCTTGTTTTGTTCCCAAAGTCACCCTTACTTTGTCCCTCTGATTGAGGGATCAGTGTTAACAGGTTCCCCTTTAGCACTGAGTGGTTATTCCTCATGAGTGTAGCTAGGGAGTAGGGAAGGGCATCTAAATCAAGTAAATAAATAAAAATACTTAACTAAAAGTAGAAATTGTAGAAAGATTTTGACAGATTTTCCT